CATCTATCCGTAATCTTTGGGACAATTTCATTATTTTCTATACAGCACATGTCTCCAAGGGACATCTTAAAAGAACCTTAAGCTCCAGAGAATGTTCCTATGTCTTTTAAACGTTCCTCAGAATGTTTTTTGGATAAAGTGTGCCGAAATTGCAAGATTAAAATATTTCATAAAATATTATATTCATTAACTTCGATGGTACAAAAATATAATCGTGTCTCACACTAAGTGCATGTGAAAATCATGTACAAAGAAATTATGATATGTCTGTGCTTCGGTTATGTAGACTTAGTTATATAGAGAACTTGATTAAATTTTACACGCGAGAAACGACATCATCATTTAACAGTTCCAGAATATCAGAAAAATTCAAATAGAGATTCTCAATATTATGGACGGATATTCTTAGAAACTCTGAATTAGAATGTTATAACATTGTTTAGATATATAAGATATAATATTTTTAGGTGTTTAATTTGCTAGACCTCAGGACAAATTTTCAAATAATAAATAAAGAAAAAATGGGCAATTAAGAACCTTAATAATTGGTGCGATTATCTTATAAACATATATTTCTTACATAAATATAAAACTGAAAGTTTCGACTCAATTCGAGCCATTCTCAGCAGTCTTGCATAATAAAAATTCTTGATAACCATCCAATAGTCGTACATCAAAGAAATCGAGTGCAGCAAGAAAGTTTCATAGATTATCAAATCTGGAGTGTGTAATCGTCAGTTAGCTGTTTAACTATAAGTGCGAGCTAAATCAAAATATCATTCAGAAGGACAGTTGCTAAAAAGAAAGGATAACAAATTCTTCTGATTCTGGAGATTTACCTACTACACAATAATTACAATAAAATAAATTAAAATTGACAAAACGGATAAAATCAGAATTTCCTGTAAGACATAACATTCGCAGTGTCAATGCAGAGTCACATATATAAATGAACGTTAAGAAATAAATATTATAAGAATGGAAACAACAATGGCAGAGAAATAGAAATTATCGAATTGAAAAACAATATATATAGATAGACGCTTGAGTATAGAGTTATAACAATCAGAAGAATTAAAATTTATTTATTATGTTCGTATAAGCATGGTGCAAAAACTCCGTGTCTAATTTCAACCAAATTTAAACCATTGTCTTGCATTTTGATATTGAGCATTTCGGACACTAACCTTTTATCTCTCATTAAAATCTAAAATTTTGATGTTCATCCAATCACATTCATAGTCAAATTGTAATCTATATTCAGAAATGACAGGTAAGTTATCACTTTTTTTATTAATGTCATTTTTATGTTTGTTAATTCTAGTCTTTAACTTACGACTCTTCTATCTCACTCGTTTGTAAAAAGCATTATAATTTTTACAATTAACTTCTACACAACATTTTTTTTCGACTCGTGAAAAAGAACGTCTTTTTGTGCTTTGATGTTTCCGTCCAGTTTATTTAAACCGAAGAAGGACAATTTAACATTCAGATTTTTAATGATGCTCTTTTTGTCATAAATGCAAGGCAAAAATGGGATAGTAAACCAAAAGTTATTTTATTATCATTACATTGTAGGTTTGTCTGTTTGTTTTAGCGTTTCAAAAGAGACTTTAATCGTAAATTGATCGTGTCAAAAATAAAATTAATCGTTGTCCAAAAATGTCTTAATAATAAAATTAAAATTATGGTATTTTGGATGAGATGGAAAAAAAGTTCTATCCACTATGTTCATAAAAACATCTCTCTTTTATAAAAGCGAAGTATATATCTATATATTATATATATAATATCATAAATATATGTATATGTCCCAGAATATTCAAGACCTATTCCAAATCATCCTGAGGGTGTCTTATGCTGTTAGGGTAATTGATAACGTCTTTTCGAAATTGGATCTAAGTATATCCACAGCCACTACTTCGTCATTGTATTTTAATTCTTTATATCTATCTTTATACAGAAATCTTTTAGATAAATACAAAAACTGAATTCTAAAATAATAATATGGCGTCAGATGTCTAAAGAAAATATATTATGTATACGAGTAAAAAGTTTTGAAGATTTCAAGATTTTGGAGTAAAAAATTGATTTTTACTTTTTTTTTTACTTAAAGTTATTATATAATTTTTTTATCTCTACTGTTCTTAACTTTAAAAAAATTTGCTTAATATAAACAATATTAAATAAAATTTCACCAAGAAATATTTATAAACAGAAATAGCAGAAAAATACTGTCAAATGAAGTGTTTAGTAATATCTATAACGTAAAATTGCTGATATCCGGCTCTTACACATCGTACTACCTCGCTTAAAAATTCAATTATTGTATTTATATACTTTCTTATTTAAGAACTACATGGTACTATAGCATACAATGCTATTGTGTTATATTCGTGATATGAAGTGCAACAGAAGTTTTGTTATTTATATAAATAAAAAAATCGTGATAACGTTGCTATTTTTCAACGTATTTCATAGTAGAATTACAAAAAATATAAGTTAAATAGACTAAGTCTTGACTATTTGTCGTGATTAGAATATTATTAAAATTAAATTAATAGGAATAAAGTTTGCTTTATGTTTTTTTATAGATAAAATAAATAAAAAATTAAAAAATGCTCTATTTTCCTAAATCGCACTATAATGTAATTTCCTAAATCGCATCACAATCTTCTTCTTCAATTTACCTTCTTAAATCATACATTATCTAATATTTTTCCATTTCTTGTACTTTATTTCATTCATTATTATGTAAAAATGTATATTGTAAATCTACGAAGTGTTTATTTCGTTTCACGTAGAAACTCCTTGAATTACTTCTTGAAATTATCATATGTTTCAGAAATTATGACATATATTCTTCAACATATATTCTTAAGTTTTTAACAGCATAATAAAATACAATTTTTTCTTTTTTTTTTATTTTTAAATTTTGTGCATTAGCTTAATGTTTTAAATGAAGAATATGTTGCGATTTTTTTTAAGCAACGAAAATCGCTCCATACTGAAAAAATCTTTATTTTAAACATTATAATAGCGCAAAAAAATTGTGAAAATTATATAAGAAAGAGAAAAAAGTGCAGTTTATTGCGCTGTAAAAAGCTTAAGAATATTCTTCATAATTTCTAAGTGAATGAACCTTAAAAAGTAGTACGATTTCGGCAACTTTACTCTGTGTGAATAAGCAACTGCAATCATCAGTTCTATAAATTGTATACCAATTCAATTTGTGAGTTAATATACTTGCAGAGAGATAAGAGAGTATCAGTAATTAATTCTAATGAGCGTTTCCACTGATAATCTATCACTTATATACTTAGGAAACTATTGAAGATTGCTGAACGCTATCACTAATAGAAAAAACATTTAATACACTTAAAGGCGAGAGAACAGTTGTTCTAATAATCTCTGTAAACGGACACTTCTTGTCTGCACTATTTCCGCCGGCCGATGTCAGTTGTCGAGGGATCTGCAGAAAGTGCTAATCGGATAATTAAGAACGGGATGCGAACAACGCATGCTTCGTATGGCCGAGTGATTCAGCAGCGGCACCGCCTCTAATGCTCTAAGCGATGCGTTTCAGGTCACGCGTTAACTGGCGGTTCTTGCCCCCGCGCGATTGACCCACGACCTCGGTAATCCTCTTATAGACTCGACGTAGTGTCAAGACCTTCGGGCACCGCTCTTGGCACGGATCAAGCGTAGCCGCTGAAATTTTTCAGTCTTTAATATTTGGACTGCCAAACTGATTTCAGCATTCAACTTGATATATCTAGTATATTATTTTAATACTTTATTGCTTTCTCTGTCTTGAAACAAGTATATTATTTCTCTAATGTTTAAAGTATAGTAAAATTATTTTTAATCGAGTAAATAAAACTCACAAACAGATGACAGAGCCTTGACAAAAATTTACAAATGTGACAATCAAAGTGTTAACGTGAGAGTCTCCTATGCTATAAAGAAATATATAGAAGTTAAATTGGACAAAAGTAATTCACAGTCTACATTGAGCATTTGTAATCTCTATATATTATTGAATTATAGGATTCTTTCCTCCCATTTTTTTCCCGGTGTACTTAATATTATATATAGCAACGTAATACTGAAAACTAAATTTGGGATTGAAAGCAAAGAAACATATTATTTTGTTTTATTTTTCATTTCAATCAATAATCCTTCTTACAAAAATATTTCGTTTTATAATAACATATCTTTAATTTAGAAATATCAAGATTGTTGCGAGACAGTGATACACACTTTCAAACTATTGTTTCCATCGTCCATGTAAAGTGAGCTAGTTTTTTAATTCATCAATTGATCAATCGCATTGTGCACAAATGTAATTTTCTTTCATAAAAGCTGCATAATACGATTTGTGCATAATACGATTGATCAATCGATAAATTAAAAAAACTCGTTCAGTATTGCCAAATCTTGGAAGTCAAAACAATTTTGTAAGGATCGTTGTGTACAACATAGAAATTGAAACTCTTATGTCTTCACAACAATCACGACACGATAGTGTCTCGACGTTAAGACATGGCGCGAGACACTGCCATGGTTACCATTAACAAAAAATTAAAATGTTTAAGGAACACTCTACGTAACAACCATATTTTAAAAAATCTTTAGGTTTAAATAGACTGACAATGTATGTTGCGTATGTTGCGAATTCAGATGAAAACGTTTATGATTAATCACGGCATAACGCTAACATCTAACGGATACGCTTTTTCGTTTATGACTATGTTAATATTTTAACAATTATGTAATTTTTTATTAATTTATATATCAAATTTTAGTTATACAACATATTGAAGATGACTTAATCTTGGCCAAAACGTTTATGGTTTAAATTTATATTATTAAAGAATTTAAATATATTATGATTTTATGCTAATTAAGACGAGTTATTGTTATATGCTCCTTTGATCACTGTTTGTATTATAAAATTGCATTTAATATTTCCTAACGATATTTAATTCTGTTAAAAGGGCGAAACACATATGCCAATCTTGCTGACCGCAGCGGAAACGCAGGTTCCATCTCTTCGAACATCACCCACGATACGCCTTGTTGACGGACCGAGTCCGCTAGCGGGAAGACTGCAGCTCTTTCACAAAGGTGACTGGCGTTCCATCTGCACAAACTCGCGAAAGTACGTATGCAGCTAATATAACCGACTATAATGAAGATACTGGTGCAGATATCTTATATGTGAATCTCGTTGCAGTTGGACTCGCGCAAATCTAGAGACAGCATGTCGGCAGCTCGGTTATCAGGGCGGACAATGGTGGTCATGGATCGACAGACAATGGCCCTCCAAGCCGCGTCTTCTTTACGAGGAACCAGGCTGTCGTGGCACTGAACCCTCGCTAACGACTTGCGAACATTGGTCGGAGAGAGAATTGGGTGCCGGTGTTTGCGGTAAGTGTTTGAAGATCTCTCTCTCTCTCTTATCCCCCCTTTATATTCCTCCCTCTCTTCCTCTCCCTCTCTTCCTCACTCCCTCTCTTCCTCTCTCTCTCCTTTTCTCCCCTCCCCTCCTCCGTCTCTATCTCTCTTGTATTTCGAAGTTCGAATTTTATATGTAAAAATTATGATAATTAATATATATTTTAACATATAGATTATCATCCTGATCTGGGCATTTCTTGCCTGCCCCGCCACGATGGGGCGAGCAAGGCGATCAAACATTGGCGGGGGATACGATTCGAGGATGCGGTATACGATAAACAGAAACTCATTCAACAAAACACACTTTACGTGCGTCAATCTCTGTCCATTCTACAGAACACGGTGATAAAGTGAGTATCTTTAAGAAGATATCGAGTTGTTCCTAATATTTTTGTTCCGTAATAAAAAAATTTTACCGTAAAATTCGCTAAATATTTTACTAAAATTATTTTACAATTTGGAACACTTCAGCGAAATTTAATTGAATTTGAAAGCAAAATTACATGTTTTTTATGTATAGCAAACAAGGATGTTTAAATTAAATTTTGTTATTTTTTTAAACAAAATTATGTTATCAAAATATATATTCGATTTACTTTTATTTTTGAGCCCAATTTTTGAAACTGATACTTTTAAGAAATCATTTCATTAAAACATGGGTGAAAATTTTCATAATATTCCTATTGTGTGTAATATTTTAATTACGAGAAACAGACTCTCCTCCGTCCATCTGGCGGCAATGCCACGTACATACTGCCGATAAATTGCAACATATTACAGAAATTTCAGCAAATTTTCAAAGAATTTTTCAAAAAAAACTTTTTGAAGGAATTGTAATGAATTTCTATCCAATTTTCATCAGTTTAGAAAATTATTTTCTAACGAAATATCAACATATTTTCAGAGAAATTCCGATAAACTTTTAGAGAAATTTTTAAAAAAGAAGCAAAAAAATTTCAATTAAATTTCAATGCTTTTCACAATTTTGATTGAAAAAAATCATTTTCTGTGAAATTGTAGCAAAATTTAAAAAAATTTTCTTGAAAATTTTGTTAAAATATCATTTTCAAAGAAATTTCAGTAAAATATTTTTCCATCAGGATTCCTAATATATTATATATATGTATAAACCTATTTTAATTCTTCAAATAGATATGCTGGAACCGGGAGAGAGTACAATATAACTTCGGCAATTCATGTCGAAGGCGTTCCACCGATAATGGAATCAATTTCTGTTTTGCATTCTGCCTTCACGGGTATCAACGTCACTACATCGGACGCATCAGTTGTGATAAATAATTGTACTATGCAATATAACAGAGGTAAGATATATGTAATAATACAATTTCATCTTTTTCTTCTTCTCATCTACTATATTTTAATATTTTATTTATAAATACAGTATAACGCTATCCATCTTTACTCCATGTATATGAACAAATTCGTACTCAGTTTTAAATATACGAACTCATAGCTAAACTTTTGATATTCGAACTAAAGCGCTGAATAAGAGCTTGATGTGCTCAATATCAATTTTCTGAACGTTAGTTAATATTATCAGAACTAACATAGTACTGCTAAAGGGAAAAACTAGTGAATCTCTGTTATTCATCATTCGATTATCGGAACTGTTTCGTCTTCCAACATGTTGGATAAATGAAATGTTCTACCATAATCATATTGAACAATATATTGAATTATTTTCGATTTTTAGGATACGGGATTTATGTAAATAGCTCATCCGGCATGGCGCATATTAATAACTGCACAGTATCCGAAAACGGAGCGGACGGAATAAAGTATGTGCACGCGGATGAGCGGCCAGACGACAAGCTGGAGCGTAATGACGTATACGATCTATGCACCTTTCCTTCAACGGTCAGTCAGACTTTTCCCATCACTATATCAATGCAACAAAATAAATACGCTCCCAACGTAAAAGAATGTCCACAAGTGAGTAATCACCATGTTAATCACTATCAAATAAAATACTGTTCGCATAAAAGGAGAGTACAATTTTTTTCATGTTTGGGAATCGTCTTATTTCTACATTTTCTTACGTATTTTAATTTCTATATAAAAATCGAGAATTATCATACAATAATAACGCTACATTCAAGGAAAAGTTAGTACATCGTGTGCGTGCGTGCGTGCGTGGGTGCGTTAAATACATAGAATGTTCGTAATGTAAGGTGTTTTAAAATAGAGGCAACAATACCTATTCAAAATTTAATTTTTTTATGTGCTTACCTCCCCGCGCACGCGCGCGCGCGCGCACACACACACACACACACACACACACACACACACATAAAAGGAGCATAAATCTAACTGTGCACATCGTGATACGCTTCGGGTAATGCCTGCTGCGATATAAGTTAACGACTAAAAGCAATACAGCGCCTGCCGTTTTGGTCTAAATCGTAACTTCGTATATGAAAGATTTTACTTTAAAAATGTCGCAACTGCTTTTTTTTTAATCTCGTTGAAATCGATAGACTTTAAAGTTTAAAATTACGTTAACATCATAGGATTTCTCTCCCTTTTTGATCGAAATAGACCGAGTTGCATAGAAACAGGTAATTAATAATAATAATAATAATAATAATAATAATAATAGCTTTATTGCATTGCATACATTTACAAATTAGATAAAGTGAGTAATACAAAAAACCAAGATAAGTGCCGAGTGCAAGCAAAAGGCGAAGCTACAGCTGGTACCTAACCAGTGATATTAGAATGACAGACTCATTACAATAAAAATTGTCTCAGTTTTCAACTTCACCTTTCACTTAAGGGGATGCTGGAGTGGCCAAATTGTATTTAGCAGGTCGATATAAATCTCTGAATTTATCTAAATCAAAAATCCTTTTATAGGATTAAAGTAGATGCAAAAATCGAGTAAATCGTGCAATATATTAGGTCATCTAAAAAGTATCCGCGGTTTTTTATCACTAGATGTGTGTTGATGGTTATATATCTAGTGACAAAGTACCGCGGATACTTTTTAGATGACCCAATATTAGGATTGCATTCCATTTCACGCATAATGCGCATGATGTATCATTTTATCTTTGTTTAACATTCTGCAAACAATAAGGATATCTCGTGCGCATTGCGCCTGCAATGGAACAAGACCTAAATAAGGACAGACGAATGCGTTTGAGCGAGACACAACGATATAATAAGTATGAGAAATGAATGAAAGATAACTACTACCGAATTTGGAATAGTTCTATCGATAATACAAACAGCTCCAGCATTTCCTTAAGAGGATCCTAAAGCGAAGCTCGAACTCCGATGAAGTCATCAGAAGTCGCGCCTCTCTTTCTCTCTCTCTCTCTCTCTCTCTCTCTCTCTCTCTCTCTCTCTCGCCGACATGTCTTTATATATTACCACAATATCTCACGCTATGATACTCGCAGTGGCACATTCGTGTTAATTTTCGTATAACAAATTCGGTGTGATAATTCTAATTCTAAGAACTCGACCTTGTTTGTTCGTGTAAACTACGTGTCTGGGAACCACTATTTCATACATACAGGTTGCAAAGCTTTCATAGCAAATATTGTCACAACTTGACAGCTGAGACGCCATGTTATAGTAAGAAGTGGTAAAAAATATATCAATTTTGAAATTTTTGATCGTTCTCGACATAGACTCCACTTCCTAGTACTTCACGTATTAATGCGTATACTTTAATCCTGGAAAAAGATTTTCGAATCGGTGAAAGAAAAAAAAAGTATTTGTTTACAAAAATTACATAATTTAATCGATAAAATAGGAGGCTTTAGGATCCCCTTAAATTTTTACACGAATAGCTTATTTGTCTAAAAAATGATAAGAGCGTCTTAAAGTAAAAACTTCAAATTTTTTTCTTTTTTAATGGGTACTATACGTTACTTCGTTCGTCTTTTATGAGCAGTCAAAGTCAAAAGAATCATTTTCACTTCAATGTTGAATAACTCGATGAAAAAAAATCATACAACGTTCACCAAAAAAGTAAATTAAAGATAAAGGCTCATACTTTCGAAAGCTATAAACAGTATTTGTGCTCGAATTCTCATTTACGGCATGAAATTTTGCAAAGTTTACAAAAAATTTTGAAATTTAACAGATCATCGTTTGTAATCATGTAGCTCCGTAAAAATCAGCCAAATCGTTATTTAAAGAATAAATCTGAAGAATAAAGATTTCAAGCTTTTTCAAGCGACAAAATGCTTTTTTGAACGTCTCATTATAATCATTTTTATAAAAGTTACACTTATTTAAAATTTATCTATTTTTTGAAAGAGTGAGAGCTTTGTAATGCTTTAATTTCCGCACGCAGTGTATTTTTGATATTTTTTATTTGAATTATTAAGTATTTCCACAGCATTTATTACAAGATTTACAATAAATATTTTATAATATTTATAATAAATGTCTTTAATTTACGCAATCTGAAATCACAAAAATATTTACAAGATATTTAAAATAAGCCTTATAAATATTTATAAATATTTGTAAATATTGTGTGTTGTATGGGCTATACTTTAGTCCTTTACAAACTCGTTCAGAATTGAATCAACAACTCTCTTAATTTTTAAGTAAGTAAAACATAACTAACAGCGATTTCATAATAATTGATGTGAATAATTAAAGATTTTATTCTTTATTATTTCAATTAATCTTGTACCAATTTTTCCTGAGTGTAGCGTTATACATTGTGATGATTTTTTATTTCTACGCAAAAAAAGCATAAGAAAATGTCCAAATAAAATGATCCCCGAACGCCGCCACAAAAACGCAGTCACAAAAAAGTAAAAGTTAAATTGTACCTGAATAAACAAAGCGCTGTCCGATGTATTTTTGTTTGCTGAAAACGAATCTGACCGTAGAATTGGCTTAACACAGGTTTTCGAAAAAAAATTGAAATTAAATTTGCCAAAATTTGCGTTTTTGACCATATTTATTATTTTTTGTGGTTAAAATAAATTTTTTTTCAATTTCATTTATGCCACTTTAAAGTGGCTATCTTTTAAAATCTCTATAAAATAAATTTATATTTATTATGATATGACTTTTTGTCATATGCATAACTAGCATATGAAGAATCGCGATATTGCCATCGCGCATACAAATTGTCTAAACATTAAGATACACATTTTCTTAAAATTCTGTCTACTTTCCGATTTTTTGCCATAACGGATCCGCTATTTTTAATTTTAAAATTTTAATATAATTTGAATTTTTTTCAGCAATCATCTTAACAATAAAATTATGATACCTAAGAAATTCATTTTACATAAAAATAAGTCAGAAAACTCATTTTAGCTATACTGCTAAAGGGTTAAAACTTTCATGACTAGATGAAAAATAATAATTATACTTGAATACGCCGTTGACAAGAGTCCCATCCAGTATCCGAAAAAGTATTAAAATAAATTGAAAATTTTTAATACATTTTAATTGATTTTAATCTGAATTCTTAATCCATGTATATGGATAGAAAAAAATTGAACGTGGTAAAATTGAATCATTTTCTATTCATACATGGAAATAGAACATAATTCTTTTTTATGGATTCAAATGAATTCAAATATTTATTTTTTATAGATTTAAATGGATTCTAATAGATTCAAATTGTCAATCAGCTATAATATTAATTAATCCAGTTTTATTGCTAAAATAAGCATTATAAACTGGCACATCATATTCTAAAATGCATATACGACAAAATTATAATAAAAAATATGTTTTCATCTAACAAAGGAACGTTCTTAAGTAAAATAATCGATCTTGATAAAACTGGGTGAATGTATAGATGAGTCAATACTAAGTTCAACGTATATTTTTTAATTTTTTAATTTTAAGGTTTTTAATTTTTCTTAGCAATCATTTTGTGCAATATTGATTAATAACTATTAAAAGTTCAGTGCCAAGAAAGACAATTTGAGCATAAAAGAAAATATATGTTGAACTTAAACTGAACCACTCTACACACCTAACAAGTTTCATCAAGATCGATTATTTACACCTAAAAATGTTCTCTCGTAGAGTAGGAGAATTAATTTTTATGATGCTCTCAAACAGTCATCTTGAAGTTGCATCACGTCTTGCTTGACCTCTACAATCACAGGAACTGTTATATATTTCGATGATTCATAAATCTTGAATAACGGATGTACCATTGTAACATATCTGCTCAATAGATATTATTAAAAAGTATAGTTAAGGGGGTATTCTAATCTAGAAGCCGAATTTTTATGCTCTTTTTGTAAATTTTTTAAAAAAATAAAAGTTTTTTGGAACAGGGTTTTTTACATATTTATACATATTTAAAGAACGTTTCAAAATTTTTTTATTAAAAAATAATTGTTAATATGCACTGTATAAAATATTAAGTAACGTCGCGAAAAATAAAACTAAGCCTATAGCTCCCGATTCCAGCTCTTTTGCTCATCTGAAACAAAAAAACCAAAGAAATTTTCAATTACTATGATATTTGACTATAGCAGATACTAGAACGAAGAAAAATACTGATAATTTAAAAAATGTCGAAAATTAAGTTCGATTTTAAGTTTTGCTTTTTTTCCACCAAAATGGTTATAAAAATTATAAAAATATATATTTCGACTTGATCCTAATACGGGCTATACATGAGCTGAAGATGTGCACACATACACGACTCGATTAGTCAACTGATTTTCAAGATATTATGGGAGCCAGTTTTGAAAAACATGGTTTCTAGAACAATGTATTTAAAGTTTTTTATATTGTTTATATAGAGATAATTTTACTTACAATCAATCAACTAGAATCCTCTTTTTTCCATTTTCTGTCGCCGGAAACCGTTAGATGTTGCAACATTTCTAACTTCTTCATTCTTCTTTTTCTTATCATCAATTCTTTTGAAATAAGAAAGTCGATATCTTTCGAACGTCGCAGTTTTTTTGCGAAAATAAATATGA